GGGGGGGCGGGAATGAGGAGTACTTAGATACTGAAAAGTGGATTTGGGGTGGTGGGAAGGCACAAATCTTTGTCAGATTTAAAGGGCCCTCTAAAGGGGTGTGGTGAGAAATCTCTGCCTGCGGTGTAGAGAATTCAAGGTTGAGATGATGTGAGTGTCCAGAAAGCGGGAGAAGTGGTGGGGAAAAGGCAAGGAGGTTTGGAGGGGGATGGGAGAAACAGAGCTCAGAGCCACCAAGGAGCAACCACCATTTATTAAGGTATCTTCTTCTTCCTGTTAAAGCAATACCTTGGATATGCTCCATGTAAATATTTTTCACAACGCATTTGTTAAAGATCCGTTGGTCCCTGTTTTCATTCTGTTTTTGCAAGGAATCTGGGTCATGGTGGGACTGGAAGAAACTGAAGTGTTTACAACACCAGCAAGATTTGGAGAGAGAGTTGATGAAGGCTTAGCTTCATGAAATATTTACACATCTCTCGCGTGGGCTTTTGTTTGCTCTTGTTGGTGCTGCTGCATATTTTACTTTGATAATGCTTTGAGTGTACTTCTCCTGAATGTGCTTATTCTCCAGTTATAAACTCTTCTTTCTTTTCCATTGTTCACCGTTGGCCTGCCCTGAGTACCAACTATGGGAATAAAGACACATGAGTCACGCATAAGGAAGAAAATCTTTTTCTCTTGCTATCTGCAAATGGCAGGAGTTTGTATTAGAGAATCTTCTTTTGAAAAAGAATTAGGAAGAACATTTTTCAAGTTTTTGTGCGTGTTTAATGGGGGGAATGAGTTGTTGATTCATAAACAGAAAAAAAAAAAGTAGTGATTGCCATTGCAAGTCTAGATGTTACGTCGTTGCGATTTATTTTGGAAACAGAGCAGAGGAACTCCTGGAGATCCATGTAGAGCATGTTGTGGTGTGGTGAGGCTTCACTTAATCGCTAACTAGACTGTTATCAAAATGACCAGGACAGAGTCACAAGTGCACAGCTTCATATGGAAAGTGGAGGACCGAAGCGTGCTACGAATCAGATCACTCTGAACTGAAGGTCTCAACAAGCTGTTTTGGAATTTGGGTGTTTTTTTAATTGCCTCAATACACTCGCCCAACACATTGAATTGTCCCTGCAACGTTTCCTTGATAGTGCCTCAAATATGCTTGAAAGAATATTATCAGCTACAGCTATCCTTCACTGTATGAATTTCCAGTCACAAAATCTGTGGCTTATGGGGAAGCAATGAAATATTGTTCATGGAATCACAAAATCATAAAAGATTAGCCTCAGAGAGTCAGGACGCGATTCCAGACCCAGCTCACACTTGAGCTCTTTCAGTGGCAGCTGGTTGTGCTCTGTATGCACTCGTTCATTGATTCATTCATGCATTCAACATATGATTATCTCGAACTGACGTGGTCCTGGACCGTGGAAGAGAAGAGAGAATGAGACAGTCTCAGCCTGCAGAACTAGGGAGGGAGGGACATCGGCTTGTTCAGGGCTATGGCGGGGCGAGCACAGGGTGCTGTGGAAGCCAGGTTGAGGAGGGGGAGAGGACAAGGACAGTTTCCAGGGACCTGAAGGGTGAGGTGAACTACCTTGGTAAAGAGGAGAGAGAAGGGTAGTCCTGATACAGAGACCAAAATATGCAGAGGCCCAGGAAGAACAAGAAGCTCTAGGTGGTTGAAAAACAGTGTGAGTAGATGAAGATGGAAAGCTGAAGATGGAGAAGGCAGTGGAATCCTTTCTCAGCTGAAGTCCAGCAGGGCTGCTAACTCGTCTGGGCAGTAAACCGTTTGATCTGGATAAGTTAGGTAGACACATGCATATTGGGGCTCTATGTTGTTCACATTACCCACGTTTATATCCTTCAAATATCTGGAAACCATATTAATCTTAATTGACAATTGCCTGATTAAAAGGGAGACGTGTCCTTGAGAAAGTCATATTCTCTGTGCCTCGGTTTCTACATCCACAACATGTCTGCCATCTACTTTGCGTATTGTGAAAATGACAGAGAATGAGGGAATGGAGATTTGAGTTTTATAGAAATGCGGGGAATCTTATCTTCATGACAACTGTGCTCAGTGTAAAAGGGTGGAAAGTACTGTTTATTCCAAGCATTTAATTGTCCCAGACAACTCCTAAAGATGGTGTAAAAAAAATGAACAAAATGTCACTCAGGAACACGGGCTAAAGAGAGCCCAAAGGCCACATACAATTTTAAAATTATTTTTTAAGTGAAGGAAATATATACAGCAATGCCACAGTAATGAATAAGTGCCCTTCTTGGGGCCAGCCTGGTGGCATAGCGGTTAAGTTCGCACATTCTGCTTCAGTGGCCCGGGGTTCGCCTCAGATCCCGGGTGCGGCCATGGCACTGCTTGGCAAGCCATGCTGTGGTAGGCGTCCCACGTATAAAGTAGAGGAAGATGGGCACGGATGTTAGCTCAGGACCAGTCTTCCTCAGCAAAAAAAGAGGAGGATTGGTGGCAGATGTTAGCTCAGGGCTAATCTTCCTCAAAAAAAATAAAATAAGCACCCTACCAGAACTGGTCACGGCCCATTGTGAAGTCAGTTTACTGGGTCTGATAGCATTTTCATTTTTGGAAAATTGTTAGAGTAAAATGGAATAGAAGGGTAAATAAGCTTTCTTCATTAACTTTTTAGTGAAATGTATATTTATAGGGATATGTGCACTGGACTATGATGTTATGCATCATGTTCCAAAAAGTCTGAAAGCTACTGCTTTAAGTGATACAAGAAAGAGATGCTTCCAGCTTTCAAGACTCCAAGAGTTAACTAGAAGATCTAATACACAAGTATGTATCCAGTATTCTGAATAGCAGAATTGCCCGGAGAAAGGCAAGACCTTATGACTTACCACTAAATTCATGGCAGTAGAGGCAGAAGAGGGGGAGAGCCTTAGGGACTGAATTAATCCAGAAAGGCTCCAAGGAAGAGGTGGTACTTGAGCCAGTTTATGAAAGATGAATGGCTCTGGGTGGGCACTGAGGAAGGGGTGGTGATATAGAAGGAGGAAGTGAAGAATGAGGTGGGGTCATGTGAGGTTTATTTAAGAATCATTTAGAAAAGAAGAAATGAATATCAAGTTGTGGGGAGGGAATTACAGAAGAATTTCTGTTTAGATTGAAATATGACTCGAGTTGCTATTTATTTTATATCTAAGATTTCTTTTCCTGATACTGCTACTTTAAGAAAATCTAGATGGAATGGCCGTAATGTTATAAATCTGTCATTTCCTGCCATCTTTTTACTTCTTTTGCAATAATTTACTGGCTAGGCTTTGTTTCAATTGAATTGGATGGCTGAACTCTTGAAATTATGTGGTGTACCACATTGTAGCATGATTATTTCATTTCTCAGAACACAAGTACAGTCTTTGGCACTGAGGGGCAAGGGTGATGGAGTGATTGTCATAAATCGAGTGAACCCCTCTCTTCTCTTCAACAAGTCTCCTTTCTCAAGCGCCTCGTAAGCGCAAAGCCCTATGAACACGAAGCAGACCTTGTGGTGCTCATAACCCTGAAAGGAAGGGCAGAATCTGTGGATTTTCTTTTTCAGTTGCTCTGTGACTTGTCCATCATTTAGTTAAGTTTTTAAGTATGTTTGTGTGCATTTCAAGAAATTAGCATCAGAGTGTTTTTGCTGTAACCCAGTAGTTATTTTGAGGAGATAAAATCAGAGAAGAAATCTTTACTTGTGTTTCTGAAAACTTTTGGTGGGCTTCTTTCGGCTCTTGCTGTCTTTCCTATAAATAGGAATAAAGAAATCATGTGATATTGATACCCTTTTGAATAAAGCTATACCTTTAACCAGAAGAACAGTGCCAGTTGAAATACAGACTTGTGTGCTTAAATGAGTTGATTCGGCATGCCGTCAAATTTGGAAATTCATTTTTATGTAAAGATGTCCTGGACTCCTCTTTCATCTTCCTTCTCCACATCAGAATGTTTAGATTAGTGATAATCGAACTTTTTTGCATAAGAGTTAAGTCTGGAATAATAAAAGCATTTAGAGGGTGCATTTGAATTGAAAAGACATTTATTGAATTTCATGGGGGAAAATGTATATACTCCTACAATTTAGATAACTTACTGTCTTGACTGCCAGCGAGAACATTTTTCACAGCTTTTTAGCTGGGCGTATTGGAGTTGGCAACACAGTAACAGCTTTCTAATTTTTCATGTCAGTAATT